GGTGATAGTCAACTAATATTTTCTGTGTGTAGGGGCGATTGCGTGGACGCGAGTAAACTTTAGGTTGAGCACAACTGCAGTCGGAGAACGTCCTTAATAATGTTTATAAAAAATATAATATGAATATTGCATACAAACCTACTAACAGCCTATAAATAAATTTATTAAAACAGAGAAAGATAAGTTAAATAAAATGGATAATAATAATGTGATGTATAGAATCAATTGTTGCAATTGTGATTGTTCTTATGTCGGACAGATAAAAAGAAAACTTAAACTAGAATCAAGGAACACAAAGCGGACATAAAAAAATCAAATAATCTTTTAGTAGTCTCATATCATCAGCTGAATTATAATCACGAAATAGATTGGGAAAATATTGAAATTTTAGATTCTGAACCATCATTTTAAAAAGATCTATTTCTGAAATGATCCATATCAAAAAGCTAGCTAACGGTATGAATAATCACAGTGACACAGAGAAATTACCTGATACCTATTTACGGAAATGATCCATATTAAAAAGCTAGCTAACGGAATGAATAATTAAAGTGACACAGAGAAATTACCTGATACCTATAATCTGGAGACACTGGTAGTGTCTCGGCGCTAAGCTACGCGCAGCGCCACTATCGTGGCTACTTTACACGAGCCGGCAAGTTGCAGCAGATCGAGATTATCGGATTTCAATAAGGGCTGAACCGATTAAGTTCTAAGTGTGCTCAATCGATTGCAACTGCTCGGGATATATGTTGAAAGTGTTTTTACTTTTTCTCTGCGTGCTCTACGAGATATTGCGACGCAAAATACGAATCTGAGACTTTTATATATTAAGACGTCATCATGGTCGTCGTCGCCGCTACGAAGTGGTGGGGGTAATGTCCTTTTGGAATTTTTGGCGCAAGAGGTAAATGTGGCGCTGGCAATGTGCATGGCAGTGTTGCCAACTTGGGGGTTTTCCCCCCAAATTTAGGGGGTTTTTAAGCTGCGAGGGGAATTTTAGGGGGTACAAAAATGCTAGGGGTTTTTTGGGGGGGAATAAATGTTCATCAATCATTGGCTGCGTTCAGCAGACTCAGCAGTTTTGCAACCGTTTTATAATTCGTCGCGCTGATTGATTTATACTTTTAGTTTTAAAGGAAAATCTATCATACGTTAATTTTAAGCCAACGGAGGCAATAATAAAAAAATAATGTATCTATGTACGATCATAAAAATCAGAACGATTGTCACGAAATCAACCTGTTTTACGAGACTATGGAAATAAATAACATATAAAATTGTAAAATATGGTTTATTTAAAAAAAAATAATTACATAGTTATCATTATTTACTTTTTGGCGATTTGTGCTTCTACAAAAATTAAGATTTAGGGGGATTTGGGGGGATTTCAAATTCAATCTGGGGTGAAGTTAGAACAAAGGGTTGGCAACACTGCTGCATGGTCACATCACACATGTGTCCGTTTTCTGTGACTGTGATGAGGTTAGGAAAAATGTCACATCGATGGCATAGTAGAGAAAGTTCGCGCGCAACGCTTGTAGGGATCGGACGTGTTTTGGTTAAGTGTCGACCTTTGTCCTTTTCGAGTGACGCGTGAGTGTTTTGTATCGCTGCTTTTTCCGGTCCTTTTAGCCGGCTTGGGAGGGTCCATTTCTTTTGCTCAACGCGCGGATTCATTCGGATTTCCCTTGTCTTTTTGCAATCCCCGTGCGTAAGGTCGGGGTCGAGCCCCCCGATCGGGGGGGGGGGGGGGGGGGGGGGGGG